CCGCCCTAGGCCGCTCCGCGTCCCCGGTGACTTAGCAAGATGCCGGGCGGAGGCGATGGGCCGGGCAAGATAACAATAATGACGATGATGATTATTAATCATAATGATAAATAAAACAGGAATTCTCGAGCGGGCGGGGATGCGGCTGCCGGCACCGGGCACCGAGCAGCGGCGCTCCGGGTGCCCTGCCGGGCCTCGCCGCCAGCCCCGGCTGGGAGCCAGCGCCGGGGCCAGGCCTCGCCCCGGGCCGGCGCGGGGCAGAGCCGCGGGGCCGGCCCGGCGCCGCTGCGGGACCGGGGCCCCAGCTCTGCGTGCCGGGGCGCACCCTAAAAGGCCCCGGTGGCCCCGAGACCCCCCCCACACCCGCCGCCCGGCGGGGGCAGCGGGGCCTCCGCGCGAGCTTGGGCCCTGCGCGGCCCGGGGGCCGCCGGCCACCCTTGCTGCCGCCGCTGGGGCGGGGGCAGCCGGGTGACCTTTGGTGCCCACCGCGCCACCATGTCCCCTTTCTTTGCCGTAGTCCCTGCGCGGTTCCCCGGCTCGGTGCTGCAGCGCAGGGCTTGGCTGTCGCAGGTCAAGGCGATCCGTAATGAATTACCTAACTGGGGGTGGTGGCGGCTTGTGGGAGACAAAAATGCTCTGTAAACACGCTCTTACTGTGAATAGATGTTTGGGCATCCGAACATGGTTGGATTATGTATTTATGTGGCTTTTATTTATTTGTTTTCTTCGTACGTTTATTCTTATGACACTATTGTTTGTATAGGATTGGGAAGAGGGTGGTAAAAAAGCTGCTTTCGATAATGATCGTTTAATAAATGATTGTGCAGCATTCGGCTGGCTTTGGGAAGAGGGAGGGTCTCCTTCCAGAAAGCTGTTTGCCCTTAGAATCATTTACGAAAAAAAGAAAATTGTGTTAGTGTATCTAAACAAAGAAAATATTTCTAAACAGAAAGATTTGCTACAAATTTCTAGGTTGCTTTTGGGGATCTGATTTTTGGTTTGATGTCTCTTTTGATTTGGCCGTGTTTATGGATGCTGTGTGCAGCCATTGAGAAGAGAAGAGACTGGGTGGAGTAAGGAGGCAAAGCCGCGAAATGGCTATATTACCCTTTTTTTTTTTTTTCCCTCTCTCCCGTTGCTTGCGTTTTGCTGGGGTGGAGGAATACTAATTGCTGTAACAATGAAGTCTTCTTTAGGGAAGAATATGATGGTGCAGGAGCCTTCTGAAATGAAACAAATCCAGCATTCTGTTTGGAAGCGTATTTTTGTGCAGAGTGGATCTTGATTTGTGTGACAGTGCAAAGTGGCCAGTCACTGTCAGAAAGCGTTGGTTTTTTTTTCCACCTTCTGATTGTCCATTTCAATATATTGACTTAGGTACTCACTTGTTGATTTTTTTTTTTTTATTTACAGTTTAGATAACATTTTTTTTAACAAAGGATTTTACATACCAAATTATGTGAAATGTAGTCAAGTCTTTCATTGTGTGTAGTTGCTCAATTTTTTGTTCAAACAACTTCTTGATTAAACTGCGTTATGAATGGATGCAAAATAATAATAATAATCCCTGCTTTCTACAGTCCCTGGTAGAAAGCTCCTATGAGTGCATAGATTTAATTACGTTACCCTTCCTCATGTCCTGAGTTTGAATAAAATAACAGCTTGTGATTTTGGAGGCCCCTTTGAAAGGTAGGCTCTGTAAGATCCTTCCAATGTCAGTCCATTACCATTGCATCATGGAGGTGATGGTAATGTTCAGGCTTAAAGTCGCACAAGAAGGGCATTAGAACAAAGGATTTGGGGAATACAGTAGGCATCAAATGAAATGCCTTGGAAAGACCAATTTTAGAAGTACTCTCTAGTTCTAGTGGTGGCTAATGGTAGTCCCACTTGTATACAGTGTTAATCAGAGCAAGTGTAACACTGGACATGAACAATTCTGAAGGAGGGGCAGATTTTTTTTTTTTTTTTTTTGAGTTTTGATGGTAGTCACATGAAGATTGGGCTATTTCTGGTTTTAATTTGCCCCATATTCAATTAAAGATAGTGTGTGGAGTTTTTTTGTTTGTTTTCTCTTAGTAATGAAATGTAACTTAATTGCTGGAGTAGCAGAAGTTGTACTGTCTGGTGCATATATATTCACTAAAAAGCACGCCAGGTAAGAACAATGAGGAATCCAATAAAATGTCTTTGTCTTTTCCATTTTTTTCCTCTGAAATGCTGCTAGTCACTTGCTTGGGTAGGAGAAACTTGTTATTTTCTGTGCTCCAGAAAAAAAAAAAAAAACAACTTTAATATTTATCTTTATGACTATGCAAGGTTTGTCTTATGTATATTGCTCGTGACACTTCTCTATTGTTTTCTATGCTTCACCCATCTTTGTGTGTTCAGTTTTTCTTCTTGTTGTACCCTCCACTTTTTCATCTATCCAACTTAATGGGGATGAAGCAGCTCTTGAATTAGCATCTGTTGACTGTCTTAACATTCAAACCTTGTCTGTTTTCAAGACCTCTTCAAAAGTCTCCATCAGGGCTCATTTTAAGGTTTTCATGGAATGTGGGGAGAACCCCTTATAAAATATCCTGAGCAAACACTGGGAAGCCTGTGCTTCTCAGTAGCCCTGAAATACATGGTGCTCGTTACCAACGTTATTTACAACTTTTCATAGCTGCTTAAGAGTAGTCATGAGCCAGAGTGGTTTGAGTTACTGTAGTGTGAAGGGCAGCAGCTTTGGAATAGTTCTGCTTTGGTCAGTTTTCTAGTATTTTTGTAAACTTCAGGCTGGCTTCCTGTACTAAAGGCCAGGACGATGGGAGGGCTGCTGAAATTTCTGGATTGAATACTGAAGTATCTGTCAGTCTGAAAGTGAGAACAACCTAAGCTAACTGTATAAAATCAAGATGACAAAATCAGCAATTATTAATGATAAATAATAATTTTGGATTCTCTAGAGGTATGTGAATTTTATTTTTTGTCAGTCTATAACATTTACAATTTGTGATGATGATTGAAGATATTTCTCAAGTCTAAGAGCCATGTGCATTGGTCCAAACTGGTTCTGTGTTTCTTAGGTCAGATATATTGTAGAGAGATGATAAGTTATATACTGTCTGTAAATGCAGACCCGTTAATAGAGGTATTATTCATCTCCTTTTTAAAAAAGTTTAAATGTCATTGACAGAGCAGGCTATCTCCTAAATTTTTTTTAGTCAAGGAAATAAGCATTGCTTAGGTTCCTTGGCTTTCTCAGGAGTACTTTCTACTCATCACAAGAAGAATGGGGTTCCTGGATTATTAGTGATCAATGTTTAGTCTTGTGAGTTGCTTAACAGACTAACCTGTTAAGGCTCGCTGTAAAACTAACCAGGCTCACTGTAAGGTTTAGAAACTAACAACTAATTCTGGCCCATTTAAAACTGGTTTTCAAATAGATAAAATTACTTCAAAATTCTTACTTCAGTTGCTAGCAGAGTGCTTGTGCAGTCATCTGCATACAAGGTTTGTGTCACTGTTGAACGTGTGGTGGTTGGATTTGAATAGTCCCTGTATTATGTCAGCCTCACTGTGGTGCCCCTAGGTAAGGTTGAGTTAAATGTCTGTTCTAAAATCACTGCAAAACACATTAAAAAATCATTCCTACTGTGGTTTGAGACCTACTGATGAGTTTTATGTATTAGACACATTTGCAAGAATCTTGTTGTTCTTCAGGTGCTAGGCAAATCATTTCAACTGTCTATTGGAATAAGACATTTTACCCTGCTAGTTAGGTTTAATTTGGCAGTTAGCAGGTTAAAACTAGATCTAGACACTGCAGGTGAGTCCAAACAAAGATATAGTTAACTTAGTTGTTTAAGGAAGGGCCTTTTCTCTCTAATACGGATTGAGGCAGAACTGTGAGTCTTGACTATTAATGCCTCTCTAAATTAGCATCTTAAAAAAAAATCATGCTTTCTCCTCAGGGAATTAGGTAGTTGTGACTTTAAGCTATCTTGTTGTTAAGCTTACTGTCATGGAAGCCATTTGGTGTAACACTTAATTCTGGCATGCGCTGCTAAGGAAATTTCAAAGAAAAGTATTAAACTTCTGTGCTACTTTACAAAATAAGTATTTTTACTCTGTATTTTTATCTGGCTCTGATCCATTGCACAACTACTATGAACATACAACCCTCTTCAAAGCCGATTGTGTGCTCTGCAATGTCATAGCAAACAGTATCAAGTGCACTAAGGGCATACCTACCTCCAAAG